GGGGGGGGGGGGGGCTGTGAATCCCATGGTGCCCGGTGGCTGGTACCCTGGTGTGGGCACTGGCGGGATGAGTGTGGCCGGTGGGAAAAGGCTGCCTGGGACCCTGCGGGAGCAGCCCAAGCATGGCCGAGCACTGCAGCTGCATGAAAGTGCCAGTTTGGCCCCATTCAGGTCCTGAAAGGATTTTGGTCTTGGGGCAGGACTCAGGGTAGTTGGAAGAGCTTAAAGGTGTGGTTTGATCAAGGGCTTAAGCTCCTGCAGATCCCTCCTCCGGTCCTGCCCCCTCAGTGAGCGGGCATGGGGATGCCATAGCCATGTGGGGACTGTGGCACCCACCAAGCCCATGCTGGTGCTGGTGGCACTGCTGAAACACAGCGCGGAGGCCTGGCTGGTGCTCCAGGCCATGGCTCACTGTATGGGGACATGGTGGCATGGCAGCAGCAGGGGCAGCACACCCTGGGCCATGCTCAGCACAGCGGAGACATACAGTGTGGTTGGAGGAGGCTGGACAGCCAGAGAGGAAGAGAGGGGCCAAAACCTGCTGGGAACTGAGGGCAGGAGCTGGGGATAGGGATGCTCTGCAGCTGATGGAGGAGTTGGGGACAGGGATGCTCAGCGGTGGAGGGAGGAGTTGGGACAGGGAAGCGTGGCAGCAGGCACTGGGGATGCTCAGCCCCGTGGGAAGCCCCAGCCATGGGCACGCTCCATGCCCATGTCCCCTGGGGGGGCTGAGCTGGTTGAGCCCCCACACTGGGCTGCTCTGGTGCTGTAGGCCAGGGCCCATGTCTGGCTCACCCGTGCAATGCCCTGCAGCACAGCTTGGCCATGCTGGTGCTCTCCAGACCACAACTGCCCCAGCCAGCTCGGCAGCACCGCCCAGCGGGTTCCAAACACTCCCGGGGGCCAAGAGCTGCTCCATTTACTGTCCCCAAGCTGAGCTCACTGCTGCCAGTTAACCCTTACTGGCCCCGTGCTGGGAATTGGGGCTGAGCCCAGCACGTGCTTTGGCGCGTCTGTGATTTCAGGGCCCCTATGCGCAGCCTGGCCCCGGGGCAGCACCGACATGGCGAGGGGTGCCGCCTGCCAGGGCTGTTCCCACCGTGACAGGGCCGTGGCTCATGGGGGCTTGGGGCTCCTTGCCGGCACGGCGCTGGCTCCCCAGCTGGTGACTCCTGCATTCCTCGGCACAGGGAGCCCCACTCATGCAGGAAGGGTGGGGAAGCCACTCCGCCCTGGCTGGCCACCCGCTGGTGGTCACAGCCCCTTTGGCATGGCCGGTGCGGTGGCTTTGAAACCCTCCGGGCTGAGCCTGGCCTAGAACAAGGCTGCAACTGCCTGGCCGAGGTGGTGACCGAGAGTGACACGGCCGGCGTGTGGCCACTGGAGACCAGGGATGGAGGCGTGGGCAGCTGAGCCCGCCGCAGAACACCGCAGATGCTTTCTGGGCTGGCCACAGATGCTGAGGCCCCAGGGGGTCCAGAGAGCTCGGTGGCCACGAGGGGCTTGCTTGAGGTCAGGTGGCAGATGCCCTGCAGCACCAGCAATGCCTTTCAGCCCCTGCCCCAAAAGGGATGGCGCAGCCCCGCAGTGCCTGGCTCCGTCACGACATGGGGACACACAGCAACTGGAGAAGAGACAGGGAAGAGATAACAAGAGGCTATGGCATTTCGTCCTCCCTATTTACCCAGTCCGGAGGAGGCTCAGGGCTCACAGCAGAGTCCTCTGAGCCATCCCCCTGCCCTGGGCAGTCTCGCCTTTGCCGGCTCTCCTTATTTTTCAGCTGCTCTGACAATTAATCAGAGCCACTCCTACGGGATCCCAGCCCTCTGAAGCTGCCAGTCCCTATCCAAATGGATTTTAAATGTTTGCATCATGCTCTGGTCTCTTTGCTTTGCTCCTGAAGAAGGCCACTGCCAGAGGGCCTGGAGGTGACACCTCAGTGAGAAGGTGGCACTGCCAGGGCTGATGCAGCTGTGGGCAGCCAGGGCCAGGGCTGTGTGCGTGGAGAAGAGCCCACCTAGCTCATGGGGACCCTACCTGAGCCACCCCGCGCGGGCTGGGAACACCCACCTTCCTCCAAGCTGCTTCAGTGGTGACACCGAGCTGTGCCAAGGGCCTGGAGCCACTCCTGGCCCCTCCGAGGACACGGGCTACCTCTGACATCTCTCCCCCAGCAGATGTGGGGAGACGGGCAAGGGGTGATCTCTGTCCCGGGAGTGTGGCAGGTCAGACAACGAGCCTTTGGGCTATTCCAGCCCTGAGGGCAGCTCCTGGCCCCAGAAACCCGAAGCAAGAGAAAGATGAAAGACACCATCTGCTCCATAAACATCTCTGTTCATAGAAAACTCAGCCTAAGAAAATGGAAACCCCTAAGTCACTGGGGAACCGGAGCTCCGCTCCTCATGGGGCTGAGCCTGGCCAGGCGCTGCGCTTGCTTGGCTCAGGGCCCTCCGCTCCACCTGGGCGCAGTACTTCTCAGGGATGCCGGAGGCTCTGCAGAGGAAAGAAATCATCAGGCACCCTGTGCTACACCGGAGCCGAGCTTTAGGACTGTGGCCCTGGAGCGGATCCTGTTTGATGAGGATGCAAAGGAACCTGTGAGGTGGCCCAGGGGTCAGGAGATGGTGGGAAGCCAGGAAGGACTTAGGGACATGCAGGGAACCAGGGAAGTAAGCAGCCGCTGGCAGCACATCACCTGAGCTCCTGCATCTTCTGCTGCTTGAGCTGGGCAATGCGCTGGCTGCGCTGGCGGGCCTCCTCCTCCAGCCGCTGGCACTCCTCGAAGGCGGCCACCCGCTCCTGCGCCAGCTGCTGCTGACGCTCCCACATCTGGCGCCGGACATCGTTAGCATGGGCGAGCTGCAGACCTGCCCTCCGTGCTTCCTCCGCCTTCTCCTTCTCCATCTGCTCCCGCTGGGCCCTGTGGGAGAGCTCGGGGCAGATGAAAGGCCCCGCTCCAGCCCCTGTGCGTGCTGATAACCTGCCTGTGGGGCCTCAGCCAGCACCAGAGCCACTGTGCTGGCTTGTCGCTGGGAACCCCCACAGCAGCACCCCTGCCACTCTGTCACACATCCCTCGGCCCTATTTTGCAAGGCAGGGCCTGGCCATCTCGCCAGCGAGCTCCTAGCACTGTCTCTCTCACCTGAGGATCCTCTCGAACTCGTGGCGGGGCCCCCCCCCCCCCCCCCCCCCCCCCCCCCCCCCCCC